CTCAGTTAAGTCGGCTCTTTGGATCAGCTTTCTTCACAAACAAAGTGGTCCGACACATTTTGGAAAACCCAGGTTGCCTTGGCAACAGGAGATTTGGTGGCCGTGTCTATCCGAAGCCACGCTCCAAAAGACATGGGAGGTCTGCCGTTTCGCTTTTGAAGCGGCCATTTTCGGCTCTTTCAACGACGACCTCAAAATAAAAGAGCAGAAAATGTGCAAACCCTCGCCTCCAGCTCACCTACGGTTTGATAATTGAGAGCCACCAGTTGACAGCCGCTGTTCCAGAAAAGCTGCGGCATGAAGTTGGACGAGTCCACTCTGGTTCCTTTGGGATAAATCCGACTCAGCTGGGATTTATTGTATCTGGTTGATGACGGGTTAAGAAGCGGCGGTCTTATGTTGGACAATTTCGAGCCAAGCTTGAACTCGAACAAACAAATACAGCCGCCGGCGACGTCGGTCGATACTGTACGCACTCCAATGAGATCCACACGGGAAAATTGGGTTTACCAAGATGATCGTGCTTTGAGTTTCCCCGCCGGGAGGTCATCGCTGAATCGCAGCGATTGGCTCATTGCTGTGCCTGTGCGACATCCTACCGAGTGCTGTCCAAGGATAGCTCACTGAATGCGGCAGAATTCTCAACACATGGCATGCCTAATATTATGTCCTCGGTATATTCCGCTCAGATATTCGCAAGACTGATCAAAGGCATTTTCAAAAGGCGTCACGTCTAAAAGAGAAAGAAGCAGCCAGGATGTGAGCAGTCACCCGTGGCAACTGTTGCTAAGGATACTCCACAAACTCCACCGGTGACTTGGTGAGGTGCTCCAGAGCTTTGGTCTCCACAAACGACGACATGTGGTAACAGCGGGCCGCCTCTGCGCACACGCACGCACACTTGAGCACACTTTTGCCTGATGAAAGACGACGAGGCACCCGCCACGGCCAACATTTGGCTTACTCTTGGACGCCTCGAAGGAGTTGAACTTGGTGGGCTGCACGTAGTTGACCAAGGTGGACATCTCCTCCGTGGCCACGGCCTCGCGCTCCGCTGAGCCCTAAAAACAACCCCCGCCCCCAAAATTGCCAGTCACGAGCCATGGCTTGTGCGATTTTGTCCCTTTTGTGTTGCGAGTAGAGGCGCAACAATTGATTCGTTGACGGCTAATCGGCCAGCAAATTAATCAACCACTATTTTTAGAATGACCTGTTTCGACATTAACTTTCATTTGTCCGCAACTTTGGAATTTCGGTTTGTTTTTATCTGGTTGCTTACAATAAAATAAAAATCGGCAGATTAATTGATTATTCAAATAATCACGGCGCTCTCGTATGCGGGCAAGGAGAGTCGAAGTTGCCGATAAACTTTCAGTCCTTTCGATAACAAAAAAACGGTGCGCTGAATTTACTCCATTTTATTTGGTGAAGTGGCTGCACGAAAGAAAATTCTGGGGATTCGGATCCATTCTTGTTTCAGTAGATTTTTGTTTATTTTGCGCAACGACTTGAGGAAACAAACTAGAGTGAATTCAGCACACCATTTTTTTCAGAGTGGGATCCAAGCGATGAATTGGCCGGCCCATATTAGCCCCTTTGCAAATCGCCCCAAATCAGCCGATTCCTCCGTTATTTCATCCTGGCAAATATCGGCCGGGGCCCACTTTGTACAACAAGTGCATTCTTTACGTTCTCTTGAACCGTGTTTTGAATACAACGCAGTGCTCATAAAGCAAAAAAATAAAGAAACTCCCAGCAGTTAACATGCGGCGTCACCGCTGACCTTTTTACCGTCGTCATCATCGTCATCGTCGTCCTCCTCACTTTCAGCCTCCATCTCTGCCGGAAATACAAAACGTGACTCGGCGACCTTTTCATTGAATCCCGCGCCAAAGTCGAAAGTACACATTTTTGTTCAGATGCGCAATGCGGTGCGGTATCGAAACTTCATACGCGGAGCGGCATTTTCACATCCGCTGCCTCCAGAAAAAAATAGAGCTTGACTTGAGCTATTTTATGACTCGGGACTTTGCGCAAGGCCCTCCTGATTTTGCTCGCCGTACCTGTGGCGTTGTTGCTAGGCGACAGGGGCTCGGGGTCCTGATTGGCCGGCTGCTCCGTCAGCCTCTTGACGTCGCCGGCGGAGGCTTTGTGAGATTTCTTGTTCTTGATGAGAATTTTTCCCATCAGCTCCTGAGGACTGGGCAGCGGTACGCCCGACTCCAGCTGGAATCAAATCGGGACGAGTCCATGAAACACAAATCTTTTTTTTTCTTTTTTTTTTTACCCATTTTCTTTCTTTGCATGTACAAGAATTTCTTACCGGGTATCTGTCTAGTGGGTCGATCAGTAAGGCCTCCCCGAAGATCGATCGACAATATTCTGCCATTTTAGCCTGCTGCTTCAAACTGGGGAAAAAAAAAAAAAGATTTCTGAATCTGCTGGATGAGGCAGAGTTTAGCATTTAGCCTGGAGAAAATGTGTACAAATGGAAATCTGATGAACTCTATAATGATGACAAAGCAATTTAGTCGTTTGGTTGTGAACGGAACTCACGAGTCGACGTGATTCTCGAAAGACAAGATGACCGGAAAAGGGGACGTCTTGAAGGCGCACTCTGCAATGGCCTCAATGACTTCCTGCTGAAACAAAACCAAACCAAGCAAAGCAAAAAAAAACCCAAAACAAAACAGAGCACAACATGTATTCCAATAATTAACGAACCATGATTGGAATAGAATCAAACTGAAAAAATAAGGACTCTGTCATCTACGGTTTAAAATGTTTCCCTCACTTTCTAGTGAAAAAGCACACAGAAAAACACCGTTCTCAACACGAGCGAACACATATGTGCTCATCTGACGTCATTTCCCTCGAAAATATTCAAATGACAGCTTGCCGCTTAGATGAACTTTTGAATCAGGCGCAAGCCATGTCCGTGCGTCCAAATGAGTTTTTTTTCAGTGTGAAAAAAATAAGGGCGATGGTTTTCAGGCGACCAATAAGGTTGGCATGGTTTCCAGCCTTTCCTAAGCGTGCGACGGCGTTGACCTTGAAGGAGATCTCCGAGGTCATGGTGAAGCCGTGCGTGATGACGGGCTCCTCCTCGGCCGTGCGGCCTTTCCACACGTCCAACTCCACGCAGCGACATCCGGCCAGCAGCACCTGCCGGTACATCTCCACCGACGAGCTCCCCGCCAGCTGGCCCGCTACAAACAAACACAGACAGCGGTTCGCAATAGACAGCGGGCCGATGAGTCCGCATGCACGCTTTGCTCGCTTGGCTGGGCGCTTTTCCGGTTGCATTGTGGGAAACGTGGAGGTGGACGGGGAAGGGCACCTGTCAGGTACGTGTTGTGCGAGGAGTTGACAAAGTAGTGCGGCAGAGGGAAGCTCATGTCTTCGGACTGGTCCAGTTTGTCCGGGGGGATGACGCCGTTCTCGTCGCTCGACAGATAACTGCAGAAGGCCTGCAAGGAGATCAGGCCTGACCGACACACCCGTACAAGGCCAGCGTGCGCACACACACACACACACACACACGCACACACACACACACACACGCACGCACACACACACACACACACACACACACACACACACACACACACACACACAGTATATAAACTTTACATTGAAAGCTTTCCATGGCGGCATCTACCTGTGGGCGACTTGGTTTTGCGCGTGCTTTGTCCTCACCCTGCTCCAGCAACGTCTTGTCGCTTTGGTGCCTTTCGAGGAGCGTCTGGGTCTGAGCGGGCCTGAGAGGCGGGTAGAGGATCTCGTTGAGTCTGGGGTCCCGCTGCTTGTTGTTGATGAAATCCGTCATCCGATCCACCGACATGGCGCCGTCATCGCCTCCCCTACGGGGAACGCACGACTTGAGCTTTTGCCATGTCTGCAAAGCGCTCGCCTTCTTTTTGCAGGGCGCATGCACTCAAGGGAGAATTTATGGACAAAAAAAAAGATATCAGTGAAATTTGTGAAAAAGGCTAGAATACAAAATGGGGGAAAAAATGAAGGGCACTGTGAATACATTGGATTTCTTATTTATTTCTCTTTTTTAATTGGGAGGGGGGGATTAATACATAAATTCTCACATATTTTTCAATGGGTATTTGTTTTGTGAATACAAAGCGAGGTGCTGTGAATAGTTTCCGGATGCGCTTTACAGAATTTTTTTTTTTTTTTTAAATAAATTGAAGGCGTGAGTGCATGGACTGGATGCACATAAGATTTCTTATTTGTAACTATTTTTTCTTTCTTTCTTTTTTTGGGGGGGAAAAAAGGTCAAAATTCTTGTTTTCGCAATGTCTTTGGGGCGTAGAATTTGAGTAATACTTTTTCAGCAGTAAATCAAAGCGAGTCTTGCGTGTGTAGGACAAGCGCTCGTCCGCGCCCGTCCTCCTCACGCCGCCGCGATGCACTCACTGCACTTTAAAGATGGTGGTCAGCTCCGGACGAGGACAGAGGTGCTCCAGGAAGCTCTGGTACACCTCCAGAGGGAAGTCGTCCAGTTTGATGGCGTCGCCCTGTTGAGCGCATGCAAGAAGAGCATCAAGCGTGCGGGGCAGTATTCGCGCGATCTTTCCCTCCGTTAAGTCGACGACGCAGCTCGACTGAGAGCTCGTCTGTCCCCTCGGTGCACCGCGAGGAACGTCCCATGAATGTCGTCAGACAGAGAAGGACCAGACCACGCACAGGACAGAACAGAACAGGACAGCAAGCTCGGCAAATCGATGGCTGATGTTTGAGCTGTTCCTCACTGAAAAACAGTCGCACCCGCACCCAAGGGAACAGACTGCAAAATGAGCCCAAGAAAACACGATCCGATCAGACCGCATGAAAGCGGCTTTGGAAGAAGAGCGACAAATTTTGCAGCTTTGCAAAGTGGATGTTCTGATGCGTTCGTAGGTTGGGACAAACGATGATGCGATGCCAAATCAACACGGAGAGTTCGTTTCGGTCCGGTGTCGGTGAGCTGACAATATTCAAGAGCATCCATCATCTTACAGTCCGTTTCATATTTTGGCACAAATCAATCCAATTGCTGCGTCGCCACATTGTCGTTCCTTTTTCGTATCGTTACCCGATTTCATGTATAGCTTGAGAGCAAGTCTCGAAACTGTCCCGGACACCCGTGGGACTTTTCATGAAGCTCATTTGACGGTTCAGGAAAAAAAAAAGTTGACCAACCCGCCCGTAAGGAAGTCGGCAGTTCTCCAAGGCGGTCTCCACCCGCTTCCTGTCCGATGAAAACAAGCGAACGATACTGAAAGAAAAAAAAAAGCGGAATAAATCATGTGACCGTGTCCTCACATCACACAATCACTTCAAATTCTGTGAGCGTCCCAAAATGTCCTTGAGTGGACCTGCGACGAGTCGCGGCCTGGATGGATGACACGGATTACTTGGCTGCGCTCCATTTCGAGAAGTGTCCCGCATTTAAATGAGAAGCACTTGATTGGCAATTGGAATTCTGCTTCTCATTGCAATTATTCAGTCCCTTTCACTGAATCCAGGAAGGGGGGAGGGCGGGTTAGTTGACCACTTTTGAATCATGTGCAGCTAATTTCTTTTTTTTTTTTCCCCCCAGTGTACTGTCTAAATTTAGTCCCATGGTGAGTTATGGGGGCCCAAAGAAGACCCTTTGAAAAGGGTGGTACTTCTGAGAGGTCCGGGAACCTTTGTGGAGTGCTGAACCTATCCGATCCAACTAAAAACTTCCCAGTACGTCTGTTACACCTCTAAAGACTGGAAATTTGACCCCCAATTTTGTGTTGCTCAAATTGCTGCTTCGAAGAACAGCCAATGCGAAAGTAGCTAAAAGTCCCCATTTGGCTTCCCGGAACCTGCGTGTCTTTCTGTTAACATGGCATCACGTGCCGCCGCCGCCGGCCCATTAGCGGGTCAGCGCTGAATTAAGCACCTTGCCGGATCCTGTCCCTGTTTTTGCTTTCCCATGTGCACGTGGAATTGAGTTTATTTTGGGAAGCGCGGGACGCAAAAGAGCAAAGTTATGAAGTTTGCGCACGTCCCTGCAGAATATTGGCTCGGCTCAGCTCGGCCGCAAGCCACGCGGCGGACGCTTGCGCAGCCGAGGAACAGGCCCGACTCACTTCTTGACGGGGATCCTGCCCTCCGCGGTGGGCTGCAGAGTCAACTTCACGTACCTGCCGGAACAAAATCAGATGGGGGGGATCAAATGGATGAAAAGGAAAATGGGGGGAGAATAAAGTAGAAAAAAGACACGGTCTGAAAAAAATGGTTCAATAAAAACGGGAAAGGAAAGAAAACAAAGCTAGAAAAAAGAGACACGAAAGGGAAAAATTGGGGGAAATCAAGAGAAAAGTCAAGTTTGTATAACAAAGAAAAACGGGGGAAGAATAAAGAAAAATGGACAAAACATTTAAAAAAACGTGCGCGTCTTGACTCACGCTTTGAGGAGGCTGTGGTCTCTGTTGAGGTTGTGGCTCAGCAGGTTGGAAGACAGACAAAAAAGCTCCTCGCACCACACCTACCAAATGCATCATCACCGTCGCAGCATCATCATCATCATCATCATCATCCTCATCATCACGGTACCTTAGCCTCATCCTCCTGAGAGGCGATGAAGATGATCTGGTTGACGTTGACGATGTCGGAGGCCGTCACCACGGTGACCATTCGGTTCTCCAGCCGGCCCACCAGGTTGCCCACGTCCAGCAGCTCCCGCAGCTTGGCCTCCTAGCAGAGTGCGGGTACGGTGGTTAGCAAAAGTCGACACACCCCTGCTCAAACACCCGGCGGGGACCCAGATCAATCATTTGCACATTTTTTCCCGCCATGTGTGATTTTGCACACCTGCGGCTGTGGTCGCAACAAACCGAACCTATTCAAATTGCTGCTTGCAAGGACCTCGGAATCAGTCCGAATAAAGTTCAGCTGTTGTCGGAGGCTTTGACCATTTCCTCCACCTTCACTCGGGCCTCGGTTTCCATCTGAAGGCAAAACAGCCTCCACATGGTGATGCTGCCGCCACTGTGCCTCACCGTAGCTTTGATGTTCTTTTGGTGGTCGGCGGGGGTTGTCCGATGTGGACTTCTTGAGGCCAGATGCCGATGACTGATTGAATGGGCCAAAAAATCAGTTGCAGCCCAAAATGTCATCGGACCAAAACATATTTTGCCACCAGCTTCGGCTGTGACAGAACACAAGGCGCCGTCTGTGCACACTGTGATGCTTTTGGAATACACATTGAGCGCTTCAGAATACAAACCCACGGGCTTGTTTTGTTTTTCTTTTTTTTTTTTCTTACAAGAAGAAGCAGCAAGATTGCGTTTCTAAGGCGACGCGCAAGACGGGGGTGAAAGAGGTGAAGAGGAGGCGCAAAGAAGGTGAAGAGGCCGCCGTTACCTTGGCAGTTTTGGTGCTTCTGCCTGTCCGCACATCTTTCACGTGGGTCAAGTCTAACAACTCCGTCTCCTGGAAGATGTAAACACACACACACACACATGCATGTTGACACACAATGATAACAGCCACATACTGAGCATCTTTTGGATGCTCAGCTTGTGTTTGCTTCTTATTGATGTAAAGCACACGTATGGTGTTATTTTCCTCTCTAGAGCCTGATTAAATTGCATCCCAAAAATGATAAAAGCCTCAGTTGTACTGTGCACAGACAAGGGAAAGACAATCAGCTGACTGGAATCAAAGTCCCTTTTCTTGAGTGGAATTTAAAATTCATATTTTACGAGACTATGTCATCCATATGCAGCTCATGATCGTGTGTCCAAAATAAAATGAATATGTTTGATATCCCTTATTTACCTTGTTTTGGTCGGTCCAGTAGAGATAAAGTCCATGTGGATCAACAAAGAGAGTCACAGGAGTGACAGTGGAAAGATCCTGTGGAAGAACATGGCAAAAGTTTTTAAAAAAAACCCACATGCCACAAGTCATTGAAAAGGCATTTTAAGGAAAGGACAAAGTATCTAGGATTGACCCTTGAGGTAACTTGGAAGTATTTTGAGCACAAAACACAGGCTTTTTTGTTCCTCTCATTTATCATGTTTAGAACATATATCAACTAAACATGAAGTAAAAAACATAGATGGATGGATGGTTAAATATGCCTGTAAGACATCGATGTGGTTTTAAAGAAAGAACAACATATGGAGGATAGACCCTTGGGGTACCCCGGACCTCAATTGTGCTCAAAACAGAGCTGTGTGGTCAATTTACAAATAAAATACCAACGTGGTAAATAAATCAAGTTGAGAGATCTTATCAACACAAGGGACCATTTCTAGAACATGAGCTAAAATATAAACCCGAGATACAGTTTCTGAAAAGAGTAGATGAGCCTAAAAAAATGAATAAATAAAAAAGAAGGCATATTGTTAGCGGTGGTTGCGCTTGGCTCATCCCGAGCACCTTTAGACAACGATGCCTGAAAAGTAGAACTCAAAGCGCTGAGGATGGCGAACTGGATCCCTGCCAAGCATCACCATGGCAACCAACTCTCTTTTAAAACAGCCAGCAGCACATAAAAAGAGCTTAGGGGGGGGGGAACACGTGCGCATCCTCCCCAACACACACAGACACACACGCACTCATCGGTGTCACATGATGCATCAAGTCTGTTTAAGTAAGGGTCGCCATTCCAGTTCCCATAGCAACGCCATACGTTTCCAATCTGAGGGCACTTTCACATTGCAATACAAACACGAGCACGCACGCACATGTTGTTGGCACGCAATCAACAGGTGCTTTCAGCCAAAAGATGATCAGTAGAGAAATCTTTTCAGAAATAGTGCCTCGATGCCGTCATTCTCAACCACTGTGGGAAATTCCGGGTGGAATTTCTGCTCATTGGTCGGGAAATTGAGTGAGGGCAGAAGGTGAAATGAACCCGGATGTCCGCCTGTTGCCATTCACACAAGCAAAGCGTAACAGCAAAGTGTTCAACGAAACGAAAGTACGGCCTGCTGGATTTTTTGGAAGATTAAAAAAAATATATACCCCCCCAAAAAAAACCAGGGACAGATTTCACATTTAAATAAATATACCCGTAGTTTTTAAGAGACATTTTTTTAAAATGAAAAAAAAAAAAAAATCAATGATCAGTACAGTTAAGAAATAAATACATCAGAGAACAAAGTAAAAGTTCCTGGGAAGAATAAAGCATCTGTAAACGGACATATTTGTCAATTGATCAGAAAATAAACAAACTAAAAACATTTTTATTAAAGAAAAACAAATCAAAAAGGACAGCATTTTTTTCCATGAGATTTTTCCCTCGCCAAATAAGGGAACATTGCTGTCAACATGAATGTGTTTCATCATTGTCATCGAGCATGTCAACGAAGTCCCCAAAGTAGCAATGTGTGCCATCGTTGCACTTTTGCAACCGCCTTACCTCGTCCCATTTGATGAAGTTGCTGCCGTTCCTCAGGGTCGGGGACACGGCGGGGGGCTGGAGTTTTAAGGCGTGGACCCCCGGCTGGGCGCCGGCCATGGTTCCACACGCACGTGAAGGCGCTGGGGGGGGATGGCGCCGAGCTTGTCAAACTCCCGTCAACAGGCGGAGACGCCGCACCACTGCGTCCGCCTCTTCCTCCTCCTCAGCATCATCTCGTTCTTGCGCTGCCGCCGCCGCCGCTACTATGTGTGGTCCTCCCCCACCTCCGTGTGCTGCAACAGACAGACACAAGCAGATGCCTTCATGGGAGACCACAGCACACGTGCGCGCGCGCGCTCAACCTCCACAAATTGACTCATCGGCGACATGCGCAAAGCGGCTTCCCACAGATGGGGGAGGGAGCGGAGGGAAGAAAGGGATGCGGAGAGGAGGAGGGGGAGGATAAGAGGAAAAGGGAACCAGAGGAAGATGAGTGGTGGAGCGGAGGCGGAATGCAAAAGTGGAGGGGAAGGGAGAGGGGGCTGGGACGCTTCGGTCAAATGAGGCCAGCGGGAGGAAGTGGTGGACTTTTTCATGTCTGGTCAACAGGTGGGACCGTGCGAGACGAGTGCGGGAAGGGCCATTTCCTCTCCTTTCTATGACTTTTTACACTATGCGGCAAATTAAAAAAAAAATATATATATATATATTCTCAGTGTTTGTTTTCTTTTATCATTTGAGGGGTCAAAAGAATCTCTGCCCTTCTACTTGACCTGCTTCTTTTCACAAAAGCTCATTTTCTCCGCTTTTAGGTCAGAAAGTGGGGGACTTTGGCAAAACCCACCGATGTTTTACAGCGGATGACGAAAGAACAGAACAAGCAAGAGACAAACTTTTTTGTTCTCCTGTGGGAGAAGAGAGTCAACTCTTTCTTTTGGTAGGTTCGGTGCTTGTATTGCCACAGGACAGAAGATTCTGTAAATTGTGAAAGATCAGTCAAAATGCTCAATTGAGTCCATACAGTTGTGTTGTACTGTATTCAACGTTTCAATACATTTGCAGCCCTGCGATTGGCTGGCAACTGGTTCAGGGTGTCCCCCGCCTACTGCCCGAAAACAGCTGGGATAGGCTCCGGCCCCCCGCGACCCTTGTGAGGAGATTAAGCGGAACAGGAAATGGATGGATGGATACATTTGCATGTCATCTTTGACAACTTTGTTTACACAAGTTTGGAGTGTGCTTTTGTTTTTCTTGGACTAATCTAAATTCACTCTAAGATGACGACATTTGTGGTGCTGCCTTTGAAGGATTCTTATGTTTGCCGATTGTGTTCTTGTTTTGTTAAGAAGGTTGTAGGCCTAAGAAGCAGTGGCGTCACCCAATGCCTTTTATTTTTTTGGAGTTGTATTCCTGAAATGGCTGAATCACATCAAAGGAAAAAAAAAGCTCCATCCATCGAAAGGTACTATCTTTCAACTTTTGTGAAATGCATCTTAACTGAATAATTGAAAGATACTTTTTAGGAATAAAACTTCGGTCTCACTTTGGATCAACTCATGGGTCTACTAATCGTGTATTTTAATGATGGCCAAAATGGCTGCACTCTGCTGGTTGCTCTCAACTCACTTATGCCAATGCCAACAATCCAACCTTGGAGGAAGTCTTTGCTCATTGAATTTGTATCACACATTTGCACTTTAAAAGCAGGTCAACAATTTGCACGATCTGATCGTCATTTAAAAAATATATATACATATACATATATGTATAGTAATAACTAGACCTGTTTTGTAAACTTACCATTTTACAAGGCAAATCACGCAATTGCACAGACTCAAGACACTCCCACTGTCCACCCATTGACACGCGCGTGCACACGCACACACACATCTTCTGCAATAGCAAATCTCTGTGCTGGGATCTTATATAAGGCAGAGTGGGAGGCGGAGAGCTATTTCAGTCCCATAAAAGACCAAAGAGAGTGTATGTGTGTGTTATTTGTGTGTGTGTGCATGCATGTGTGTGTGAGCATGCAGGACAGGACCTTTGCAGGAACTGGAAATCATCTGAACCACTTTTTGGATTTCATAAGCAAAAGTGGTGTTTGGAGGACTGTTGGGGTGCGAAGCCCGGCCGTGATGCGTTCAGGCAGCCTTTGAAAATGGAAGGAGATGTCAGACAGATGCAACAAGAGCATCCCTAAAGAGCGTTGGAAGCGTACCAGGCGGTTCGTGCTTAAGCGCGTCTTAAAGGAGTCCTCAGAGACGAGCTCCCATGCCGCTGGAAAGGACTTTTAGTCAAGCGCGGCCTGTGTGTCAGACATTCAACTTTGGAGCAAAAGAGGTATTAGTCAGACATTTAAATACATTTAGAAATAATCTAAATGGCACAAATAACCAGATACTTTTTTTTTTTTTTAAGTGCATCTGGTCTTGCCTGAAGGAGATTTGCAGAATGGAAAAGAGGTCAAGTGACTCCATAATTAATCCTTCTTATAGCCTACACTTGCACACTTGGGTTTCTTACGGGTATCATCCACTGCTCTTTTTACGGATCTAACACAAAATGTTGAGCATGTACTGTAAAAGTAAATCTCATGTTTGGCATCTTCCACAGACGATTGATTGTTGGTGTGCGTTGCAGATGATATCATGGGGCTCCATGGCTTACATTAAATATAGTGGATATGATGATTTTTTTTTTTCAACACGAAAAAAGTCTAAGGAAAAGTCAAACCGATTCATTATAAAATGAAATATGCCCAAAACAAGGAAAGATGAGGAAAGGTGATGTGTACACTTTTTTTCACTCGCTGTAATTAGAGCACAGGACCAAGACCCCAATTCCATCCTTTTTTTTCTTCATATTTCAAGGGACACGTATCCCAAATGACTGTTTATAGGCGCACATGCACCCAAATAACAATAATATATATAAATAATACAAGTATTAAATAATACATACGGTTGACCTTCACCTTATCTCAAGTGATTACTCCGGATAAGCAACACCAAAGGTTAGGCAAAAGTATAGACACGTGGCCTCGAAATGTCCAAAAATGGAGTCCCCCAAGGTTCTGTGCTTGGTCCCTACTAATGTTTAACTATTTGTTTTTCTTTTTTCTTTTAACTGCAGGTGTGTCCCAACACAGTTCTCTTCAAGTGTCGCTCATGTCCAGGCAGTGTGATGATTTTCCTACTTCTTCAAAAAGGGCCAGATATTTTTTTACTTTTATCCTAGTGCTGCTTTTGAAAATCACATTGATAAAAATAACATTGGGGCTAAACTGAAAATAAGGGAGAATAATGGAGCATACATTATATTTAATTGTGTATACTTTGACTGGGGCAACTATTTACTCACTGTGTTTTTATTTTGGTGGTGTCATTCATTGAGATTTACTATCAGGTATGAATTGCACTCCTCAAGACGCATTTGCATTGAACAGATTTTCAATTTTATTGATAAATCAAACATTCATACGCGACTCATACATACAGTAATGTGACGTGATCGCTGTGACTGTGTAAAAATAGAAGAAGCTCTTTCTACATACAGTGGGTCCAGTGGATGAGCGGCGGGACCACCATCTGCGGCGAGTCATCGCCATGGCGACACGCCTTAGCAGCCATTTGTTTGTTCTCACCACTCTTGGCCGTCATCCGGCACTCGCGTGTCCGACTCGTGCCTCGTTTGTCTCAGGCTTGTTAACGAGTGATTTTTGCTGTCGTCATGGCGACCTGGTATTTAGCACCCGGACAGTCTTACGGCCATAGTGCCAGTAGCTGTAGCCCGATGCCGCGGTGGTCGCGGCGGTGATGATCCTGCAACACGTAGGATACAAATTACAGTGCTACCCCTCACATACCAGTTGAATTGGCTCCATGACCACTCTTGTAACTTGAAATGCTCACGTCAACTTTTCCCATTCAAATAAATGGAAAGGCCTTTAATGCGCTCATTCCACACCCCAAAAAATAGATATATTCCCAAATTGTACAGAACATGTCCAAGTTGTTTTATGAAAGAACGTAAACAGGAAGTTAGACGTAAGTAAACCCAAGCACATGACCTCAATTCATCATGAACACACAACTCATTTTAAGTGCGGCAAACGTCAAGTCGAGCAACTTAGTTGAAATTGTCGGCAATTTTCCAAAAGAACACATGCTTGAAAATTTGCTCCTAGTGACGAGAATGCAGAGTGCACACTCAACATTCCTTTGAAGTGCATCAGCAGACCAGTGGGTGGCGCTGTTGGCGTCTTACCACAAGCCCTGCAGCAAGATGCTGTCGGTGTACTGGAAGACTGGAGCCGCCAAGGATGCCGCGACCAGAACCAGTTGGATGGCTGTGTTCACCTGTTCACAAACAGATCAACTCAGGTGCGTGCACATACACACACACAAAATGTAAATGAATGCAAATGTGCAAAGCATAGCAATGATGAAGCAAATAATTTATTAGAACCAATATGTTTTGATTAGATTGTTTTGATTTGAACTGAATCCTTCATGGTGGCACCGATTTCTTGGCGGGTGACTCAACTACGAAAAAAAGCCAGTTTTTCTACCTATATACAGCGAGTGTCTCACCTTGCTAAATAGCGTCGGCTTGAGTTGAGCTGTGGTGTAGCAGGGGTTAAAAAACTTACTGAGGGTCACCTGTGAGTGGCAAGGAAACGACATACACAAAAGACTTCTTTTTTATGTCGCAATGACAAAAAAAAAAAAAAAAAAAAAAAAAAAAAAAAAAAAAAAAAAAAAGCCTCACCGGTGGCGGCACCGTCTTGTATCTGACCCAGAAGACCGCTGCGATCAAACCAATGTCCCTGAAGACCACCAGAGCTGTCAGTGGTGCTGCAAGAGAGACAATAGGCACTTCATCACTTGCACAGGTTGGGCCAACAGAATCCGCACCATTTCCCACAGCTCACGGGACGATCTCTCAAGACACGCGTGGAATAATACCTGGTATGATGTCTGCATAGGTGAGGCTGATATATAAAATGCTGATGAGGATTTTATCCGCCAGCGGGTCCAGGGCACTTCCTAACGCCGACTTCTGCGTGGGCCACGTCCTGGCGATGTAACCATCCAGCTGAGAAGGACATGCACACACACAATCAAGACATATAACAACTGTTATCTGTTGAATGACAAATGATTAATTTATAGTCTGCTGTCGGAGTCAACAAAGGGGTGGCATAACGACCGCAGCTTGAACTTGACTAAATTTGAGAGGCAAAAAACAGGATGGTACCACCAGTTTGTGCAGTTTTGCAATGCCGCGTGAATCCATAAAATGGCTAACAGGCAAAATTTTTTATTTTTCCTGAATGGGCTTGTTTGGCAAAGTAAGGAGGAGCGGACTCATGCGCTGACATGAGTTGTGTTTTTGTGCATCGTGCGTGTGTGTGTGTGTTACCAGGTCAGTGGCTCCGGCGAGTGTGAAGAGCGCCAGGCTGAGGTGGAAGTGTTGTTGGATGATCAGGTGACCCAGGAAAGGAGCCAGGACTATCCGACACACGCACAGCAGGTTGGGGACAGTCCACGGGTTCTCGTACTTAAGGGTGACAATTGACATAATCTACTGTATTTAACAGATGAATGGTTCTCAAACTGGGCTCTGTGAGCCACAACTTTTGTAAAGCTCTTTTAATTTCACTCCACCTTTTTTAAGGAACCAAAGGGTGATGGTTACAGCCAGAAAGTGCTTACCAGTTCTTTAAACTTAAACAGGCCCTGTCCGGGTACCGGGAAGGCTTCCCCCTGCGTGTCCGCTTTCTGGTCGTTCTTCCCGCTAAGGTCTCGGCCTCCGGTGGAGAGGAGAGCCCGAGAGTTGACCGCCAAGCTGCCGTGACCTCCGCGTAGCACGAACTGAGTCCGACACGGCCTCCACCGCGTCGACAGAATAGGGCCGAGGCGAAGGGGAGCGCGGCGGCCCGCCCATCTGAGGCCGAGGCTCCGGGAGCTTGCCGCCGCCGGGATGACGAGTGCTCCGCGCCGGAGCCGCCATGTCGTCTTCGCCTCCTCCTGCCGACAAGTAGCCCCGAACCGCGCCGACAGCAGACATTCGGCGGCTTTGCGGCACAGCGGCGCCGGAGGGCTCCGAAAACATAAAATTATCATGTTCACCTGCACTCCGTCGGCGAACCCTGCGTCCGCCGGGCCATGACGAAGTTTTACAGCTTAGGGCCGAACGAGGTCCGACAGGAGAAAGTGGGCTGCCATGTTGCCGTAAAGAGACGCGGCAAGGGCGTGCAATGTCGTAAATTTACCCGCGAGGGGGAGCCGCGAAACAAGACTGCGCGTGGAAAGAAAAAATTCTTGGTCCGAATATTTTACATTATATGGTTAAACGAAATATCACTGTGATAATACAATTGGAAAAGGTATTTGAAAAAGAACAACAACCTAGCATTACTCGGTTACGAAAAAGAAAGATGCTTTATTAACAAACTAGTGCACAACAAATAAAGTGCAAGTCAAATTAAAGTACTGTAAACAATTTGAAAAATCATGCTTGCAAGAACGATCCATTGAAATGTTAAGTAGCTGAAAGGGGCGGGAAAATTTTGTACAGTTTGTAAAATGTTTTCACAATTACGCCATTCTTATTTTAAATTGTATTATTTAGAATTTAAATAGAATTATTTAAATATAAATGAATACATGAACATTTTATTTTTGAATTGTATTATATTTCCAATAAATCACCGATTCGCCAATTATTTACCCTTATTTTAAGAAATACTTTGTAACTAACCAATTTCAAGAAAAAGCGGCGAATTTCATGCAAAAACATTACAGAATTCTTGACAATGACAAATGCATGGTGGGCAGATTAAAAAACAGATTCAGGTACTTCTCCCCACCTCTGGTCTCTCCTGTCTGTTGCTTGTTTTGATCTTGAATGGTAGTTTTGCAGTCCAGTCCAGTTCAGTGAGTGATGGTAAAGCCCAATTGGCTTGTCAGACGGTCTGAAGTTGGTAGAGCTTGGCTCCTTTTTTCAACAGGAAACCTTGTTCATTCAGAGAACTTACCAGACCCTCAAAGTCCATCACCTGCCAAAAAATATACACCGTTTATCAATGACTGCAAATAATTGCAACATTATTGAAGAAGAAGCATATCGATGTGTGCTGCGCCCCGCCGCTGTTTGTGGTGATGTCTTGTTATATTGTCTGGTTTGAAATCAACTTGAATAACCTGAACTTCAAATGAAGAGAGGTGAGGGCCACCTTTGTAAAATACAGTAAATCCCCACACACACATCATGTCATACTGTACCTTTATGTTCAGCCTCTCCGCCACAGATCGAATGGTTTGAAATCAACTTGAATAACCTGAACTTCAAAAGAAGAGAGGTGAGGGCCACCTTTGTAAAATATAGTAAATCCCCACACACATCATGTCATGCTGTATGTACCTTTATGTTCAGCCTCTCCGCCACCGATCGAATGGTCTGGAGGTCAAACTGCTTCTGATTGGTCTGCTGAGCGTGCGCGTGCAAAGCGCTGATGAGTCTTTTGGCGGCACCGCGTTGACTCATGCCCGCGCCCAGCTGCGAGCGCTCAAAGTCCAGATTGCCCAGGCCGTCCGAGTATGTGTCAACCAGGCTGCACAAAAAGAGCGTGAGGTGTGTGAAGGAATGAAGAAAAGGAATGCGGAAAATGTTTTGCTAGCTCATAATAATCTGTTTGGTGGTTTCAAAACCCCACAAAAAAGTACGCACGATAGCGGGGTTTGTAAAAGTTTTATTTGATTATTACAGTATTATTTTATTTTTTAAAGGGACATCCACAAGAGTTGAATGAAGGCAAGTAGCGAAATTTTGGGTTGATTCAGACGTTTCGTCTTCAGGTCTAAATCTTAGGTGTGGGATTACCCTTTTAAAATCTTTAAATCTGCACAGTGCACAGACTAAGAAGATCAAAAAGAGAAACTTGGAGGAGGCTTTTTGTAGATGCTGTGGGAAAATATGGCAAATGTTTATTTGCAGAAAAAAAAAAATCCTTTGATTGTGATAGTGAAAGTGTTTAACAATACAGATTAAATGTAAACATGTCAAGTGGTTTATTTCACCTGAGGAAATGTGATCCGCTTCAGGAACCAACTGACGGAATGTCAGGTATGGTCGACATATCAATTGTCCAATTTCACTTCATTTATTTATAATTACAGATACATTATTGAAAAAAATGAAGTTATGATGAACCCCGCTTCAGGAACCAACTGACGGAATGTCAGGTATGCAAATTGTCCAATTTCACTTCATTTATTTAGAATTACAGATACATTATTGAAAAAATGAAGTTATGATGAACTGGCCAATTATTTAATATTAGCTATTTTGAATGTAGAGTGCGTGTAAAATGCTTTATTTTACGACACTTCTAAACTAAACAGGCCCACAAATGAGGAGTAAATTGAGACAAGACCAGTTGACTGTCTATATGATTCTTGTTTGGTCATGTGACATGTGTGGCTCATAAAACATTGGGAAACCCTACTCTACCTGTGTTTCATAATTTCCACCACATCCTCCGCATGGCTCCTGGTGGCCGTCTCGCTGAGCTCCAGTCTGGCTCTCGCCTGCATGGAGGAAGCCAGATCGCACTCGTGAATTGATTACTTTCCGCAGCGTGGTCTGACATCCACGGCGACACGTCGGCGGCTACCTCGGTGAGTCTGATGAGCGACTCCAGCTGGCGAGTGGTGATGGGTGTGGTGTCGGCGGCTCGCGACTGGGACCTCAACGACAGGTAGAAGTCCTGGAGCGTTTGCGCCGCTTCCGCCGAGAGCGTGGGGTGAACGTAGTGGCGAGCGTAGCTGATGTACTTCCTTAACAAGACCGCCGGAATGGGGTCGGTTGCTTCACCCGCTCGGATCTTAAAGAACAAGAGCACTTGTCGTTCTCAGCTTCACGGGAATGCGGGGCGCTTGGTGGTGGTGGCGGGGGGATCATAGTGCTGGAAACGAAACTAAGTGTTCTATTCGAAAATGCCTGACGTTACCAGGAGCCAGGGTACGTTCTTTCCTGCCGCTCTGCTGTGGGGCTCATGCAGGGTTCAGCCGGTCTCCTAATGTGTGAGGTGTGTGCTTCATATGCAAAGTGGCTTGAGATGAACCTCCTTTGTGAAATGGCGCTCCACAAATCAAATGGAATCGAATATTCACCTGCAAACGCTCAGAGAGCGGCATGTCGGCGCGTTCCAGCAAGATGGACGTCTCCGCGTCGCTCTTGTTGCTCCTGCCGACTTGGGCGCTGCTGGTTTTGCCTCCGCTGGCACGGTTGGCCATGATGTGCTCCGACAGACGGCGGTCGTGAGACTCGTCAGGGATGTCCAGGAGGAGGAAGACCACGTCGAAGCGGGAAAGCAGCGGCGAGCCCATCCTGAAAATCAGGCCCCACGCCGCGTAAGAGAGGCGACAAGCCACGAAAACGTCCTGAACAACTGACCGACGCCTCACTTTAAATTCTCTGAGACGGTCTTGCCTCGGTTGTAATGGCCTCCGATGGGGTTGGCGGCGGCGACCACGGACGTTCTGGCTGGCAGAGAGGAAACGATTCCCGCCTTTGCCAGGCTGACCGACTGCTGCTCCATGGCTTCCAACAGGGCCTGCTGCTGGCTGCCCAGCTTGTCAAACTCATCGATGCAGCACAAACCTGAATAGAGGACGGATGCCGACTTCAAGGGGGAAGAGATGAAGTGACTTTTTCCATTTATTTGCTGCCGAGGACGTTTACCATAGATTCGCCAACCGGAATCCAACTGTATAACGCCACTGACACAAACATTCGTCAAGTATTTATTTATTTTTTGCCACATGAGAGGATCTTGCTCAGCTAGTCTATCAGAGCCCTGTAGATGGCAGAGTTGCATCACTTTGGATTTGAGATCAGCGTAGCTTTATTATGATTCGAAAAATACCTATCGATTGATTTGATAATTCATTAGTTCTTGCCTTGCTTTTGTGGGTTTACTGTCTGAGGTGTCACAAATATTTGCATCAACAGCACGCATCGTTTTGCCTGACATGTTTCTTTTCACAAAAAGCTCATTTCCTCCACCAGGGACGTCTCGCTTCCTCCGCTTGCCTTTCTCTTCAGAATTTGGCCAAGAATGATAACGAAAGCCCGTTAGTCCCCCAGAATAGCACGAGACACTCGGGAACCGTTTTTAACTTGTGAAAAAAAAAAGGCTCCTTTAAACATTTGCAACTAAGATGAACGGTGGCAGCATCATTCCACACCTTCATCATGTACACGATGAGGACTCTCCTTTGTAATTGACACCGTCTTGAGAGGTCTGAACTCGTTTTCTGGAGATGAGTGTAAAACCTAATTTGCATGGATGTTTGCACTTGCGTCCCCACCTTGGTCGGCCAACACCAAGGCCCCGGCCTCCAATGCGTAATCTCCACTTCCTGGATCTCTGTACAAACTCACTGTTAGTCCTGAACACAAAATTCAAAGTGTCCCGTAACTACTTTGACATGTGAAATACTCTCAATTCAAACAAAGAGTTCAGGTATAGAATATGGAGAGTGACAATTGCTTTCAACTTCACCCTCCTGTTGCGTTATTGCTGAATTCCCTTCCACGCGGGCGACATCCTGCCTCTATTACCGCCTCTGATACCACCCTCGGAATGTGGAAATTTGTTTTTGCCCCCCATTCCCTCACCCGTTCAGTGCCATTTACACACAGTAGCAACGTGGGAAATAAGGTGGAAAAAAAGCCGCGCGGATGAGGCAAAGTGGCCCAAATCAATAAAGGTTTACCGCCTTAATGTGAGCGCTCCACGTAAAATTGGTGAGACGGGTTACCTGCGGTGCTGGTGCTGTTGCCACAAACATAGATCCCCCGAGGGGCCACGTTGCACACCGCCTTCAAATGACAATACAATTATTTTGTTGGAGTTGGAACAAAGAGCCGGATGGAGTCAAGCTCTCGGGCATCGAATCGACCTGCAACATCTGGCTCTTGCCCAGTCCGGGATCTCCCACCATCAAGACGTGAGGGTCTCCTCTCACCGGGACGCTGTTCTTGCCCGTGTGCTTCTGCCGGCCTCCGAACAACACCAGCACAAGCGCCGCTTTCACCAGCTACAAACGCGCATGGGAACGCATCAGCATAAGAAGCCGACCAGAAAAGTTGCAGAATGGACGGCGGTGCTCACCAGGTGGCCGTAGATGGCAGGACATAGCGAGCTGAAGAGAGCAAAAAGGAGTCAACACGTTTCCAACAAACATCCGAAAGCAGCGGTAACCACCTAAAGCTCAATTTTGCTCAATGTGGACACACATTCAAGTGTTGAACCCTTGAAGCCTCAAATGGACAAAAGCCTTCAACTCTTCTAAAACGAAGCTAATTTAGCTGCAGTGATGAGACAGAGAGCACAGAAGAGAAAGAATGAAAAAGGAGAGAAAAGGGAGAAGACTGTGCAGTGTGAACAGTACATGAATAACAGGCTGTCTTGCATGTTTTGTTACAAGGGATGAAATCATGGAACAATTGAAGATTGAAGATGAAAAAATTGTTTTTGATCAAATATTGAGGGTCGGTTTACATGTGGTGCCCTTGTGCTGACACCAAATCTGGAGCCTGGCCCAGCAGTGGAGCTTCCGTCGACGAGTTTCATTCAAAGAAAGCCTATGACTCTATCATAGATATGAATGCTTGTTTGCATCCTTTTCTTTTTTCCTTTTTTTTCGCCTTCAAGGCCAGCAAACTTACTGCACTATGAGTCTGAGCAGGTCAGGCTGCGACTGGATCTCCTGGATGGCATAGAGCTCCTTCAGGCTAAACTCCTCACCTCCGGAGCGATCCTCAGGCGAGCCGCCAGACGACCCCACACCTCCACACTTGGACTGCTGACCTGCATTCAACATTCATGAGCTCCATCTGATGATGACACCTCACTTGGGAGTGAAACTTGGAACGGCAGGCACCTTTGGTGTTGCTGACTGACGTGGCCTCAATGTAGAGGAGAAACATGCACTGGTCCTTATTCCACCTGGAGGTTCCTGGATCGCAAACACAAGGCCATTGTTTCCCCCCCAACAGATGAGAACCGATGATGTAAGAAGCAATCAAAATCGTTTTAATGTAGAAATTTGGGAGCAATGGGCCTTCTGAAAAGTCATGTCCAATGTCCTTTCCTACAACTGTAACTTTGCAAGTTGCAGCTGTACACTGTTGACATGTCTGTCGACACAGACGGTTGCGTGTGTGTGCGCGCACCATCATTTGTGACTCTAACGATCCCCGTCACTGTCACCGTGTCGCCGGGGACGCAGCTGTCACAGAGGTCGGCGGTCAGGTGGCACTCAACTGTGCGTGGGATCCGTCCGGCCTCCCTCTGCTCGCCGCACACCAACTCCTGCACCCTGCCAACACACACACACACACACACACACACGCGCACACACACGCACACACACACACACACACACACACACACACACACACACACACACAC